CGTACGTGGATCATAGTATGGCCCATGAACCCAAGAAGGGAGGATGAGGCCATCATAGAGACATTGCGGATATGCAAGAAGTACCTCGAAGAAGGAGGGAAGATTGTATCCGTGTGGCCGCCTCTACCGTTTAAGAAGAGTTGTTTGTGGAAAACGAAGTCAAAAGTGTGGTCGGTGATTAAATCAGTACGGAAAAATGGGCAAATCAGTTGTTCACGTTGGCTCCCTCAAGGACAGAAAATAGGGTTAATGGACCCCAAAATTCTTTTCAGGCATACGACACGCATTTTAGGGACGGATATGAGCGACACCTCTACAACGTTATCCGCAAAAGAGTTCCCGGCGCCAAGCTCAGCAAGTTGCAGCAGCCGTCGAGGACGTCGGCTCCCCGGAGGGAAGGGATGTTGGATGGCGCGGATCACCGACCTACCGATCTCTAGTGGTGGAAAGAAAAGCCCGCGCTGGCCCCTTCAGCAGGCTATAAATACCGGTGGATAGGGGGGAGCAGGCAGAGCGTGAAGAGAGCGCTCCAGGGAGTTTAAAAGAGCCGTCGAAGAGAGGCGGACCTCCCCCTTTAGATAGAGAAAAGCTAGAATACCCTGCTGATCGGGTCAAACCGGGTCAGAAGGACCCATATTCGTTGTTGAGCGTTTAAGTTGTTCAAGTTATTCAAGTTATTGTTGTTCATTGTTGCCATAAAGATAAATATCTTTATTCTAACCGTGTCCTTATTGATCGATCCGGTTCAAACCGTCAATACCACTAGACAACCCCCGTTACAGTAGCAATTTTCTGAGAGCTCGCTGTTTCAACTGTTATAAAGATAATCATTCGAAAGAGCATGAAAAACTGCATCGAATGTTACCAAGATCTCCTGTAGTCCTTTATTCTGCGAACTGTGGCGCTTGTTCAAAAAAAGCGAGAATACTTTTGGGACGACCTTATAATTTCAAATTTCTTGAGCTATTATTTCATTCGTAAGTTTCAAATTCCTTTTTAATCTCTAAATCAAAAATTATCATTTTGCAATGTGTGCGATATTGTTAAAGAGAAAAGATTTGAAAATATCAGAAGCAGAGAGGAGGAGAAAAGGATAGAAAAGGATAGACACACGAAAAGCAGTGGCGGTAGTAATTTTTTCAAGGGAGGGGGAGTGAGGGATGACACTTTTGTGTTCGCGGGCGTGTGGCCACTTCCAACGAAAGAAATTTCAGGAATGGTAGAAATTTTGCGATTCAAATTTTGTACCCCCTCGATTTTTTTAGCACACTTTCGAAAGTTGTTCACAACTACTGAATCCCAAAAATTCTTGAAAATATTTCATTACTCATCAGCTATCACTTCCAAAAGTTTTTGTGACACTTTAGTCCCTTCTCTTTTGTTTTGATATATTTCTACCAAATCATTCCTGCTCTGTTTAGATCCAATATACATTCTCTACAAAGTGATATTTCATTGTGTTTCTATTTTAATCAAAGCAAAAAAAGCGAAAAATTCGACATACCTGAACAAGAGCGTTGTGTTAAATGAAGTCCCTCAGTTGAGTCCTTTTCCAGCACTTTCAGCAGCTTGGTGATGGTTGTCCACACCTGCATCTATGCCTGCAAGATTACTAAGAAAATAAATGAGTATAGGTTTATTTACGCCAACACTGAAGAAACAAAGAAAAAAGAGAAGAAAAGAAGAGGAAAGGAAGCGAACCAGTATGGAAGAAAAGAGGAATGCGTTATGCGCTGTTGATTGTTGAAGATGCGTTCGCTGTTTTGCAATCGCAAGTGCATGCGCTCTCAAATCCTGCGGGAATGCTGGCGGGTCAAAGTGCTGCGGAAACCTTGAGAGTCTTATTGCATTTTCGCAGCGCTTTATGGAAAGTGCTGCGGAAGTTCCGGTTTACGATCGCTCTGACGTCAATTTCCTGCGGAAACCCTGCATAATGAAGCATGCACTTCCTCGATGGTTAAGAAAGTGCTGCGGCCGCTGCAAATGCTTGTCCTGTAGAAGTTCCGGTGAATTGTCTGACTGATGATGCTTGAATCGTTTTCTCGAACAATAGCCATGAATCGTCCAGGTTCGGCTTTTCTTAAGCTTGGCACACTCAGCCATACTCGTAGTGGAAATGGCTGAGCGAACTTCCAAGGTGACAACACTTCTTTGTGTGCTAAATTTTCGGCGCTTTGGCCTTTTTCAGAGCCTGAAAGCCAAAATCATATAAACTTATTCGCTCAGACATCAAGAAAAAACCAAAGTATCATCCGAAAACAAAGCTAATGCTAACAAAATCATATTCACAAGCAAAGTATCTACTATAGATAGCACAAGACGGAAGTCCGAGGACCACCTATACACAAGGCATTAGCTCAGCTCGTTTATACGTGCCTTGATGACCCGGTCTCATATTTAGATCCGCCTAGGGACTGATATGGCGCGAGTTCCCCCTTTATGGCGAGAACACTTCCTTCCTTGGAAGCCCAATGCTCAGCCAATTCCACTACGAGTAACCATTGAGCTCAATAACTTTTTCAAAGAGGCCAATCTTTCAATTCGCCTTTATCAGCTCTGGAAGTCAAAACTGTCAGTAAAGCCTGCTCTATTCATATGTTATTCTGTCTTGACTGAAGGAGTCACACTTGGTAACCTTAGAATTACTGTGTTTTTAGAGGCGCTTGAAACTCTTCAGAATTTTTTGCGCTACCCGCCATCCGATTTTCCAAAAAAAGTTACAAAATTTTTATTGCTAGTATTTGCGGCTTTGAATAAAATGAAGGATTTGGTACTTATTGAAGCATCTAAGAGATTCGACTTTTGTTGTGAGAAAAATGGAAACTTTATAAACTATCATATTATCAGCTTGACGTGGAAAGATCCAAAGAAAAACCGATCATTTTCCATTTTTGGGCCTTTCGAAATGAGAATTTTTTTGCTTTTTCTCTTGTACAATATTTAGCCATAACTTGAAGGAATTGCAGTTTCTTGCCACTGCCAAAAATTATTGACAGGTTATCCACATGTCGACAGATTCGAAGGCACCGTCTACCCAAATTTCCGTCTTCCATGTTGTCGCTTTCAGACCTTCTGAGGGCTCTGATTTCGAATATGGAGTCGAGAATCCATGATATTCCCCAAAAATTCAAAACACCCGCAACAAGCGCAGAGGGAAAGCAAGCAGAGAGGGCGGGCGACCAGCGGGGTAGAGCGACCACTTTCAGATTTGTTCCTTCTGGAGCGGTCTCGCTCCGGTAGCACTATTTTGCGGCGCAACTTGGAGGTTTGCTTAGTGTGGGCCCACACTAGTATGCTATCATAATCTCACCAACCCTCTACTTTAAGTAGACTGCGCCTTTAAGTAAGTTTGTGACACTTTTCTACCAACGTAACTTCTTCTGGCTTTCCATCAATAATGGCCTAATTGATTCAAGAATATTGAACGCACATCGATATTTTCATCCTGTTTTTAAGCAATGTATTGTGATTGCACAGAACGGTGGATTTAGAGAAATATCGTCATCTAAGCGGCAAAGTAGAATAAGAGGCAACAAGGTACCTTTGGTCATCTTTTAAATTTCGTGGCTAAAAGTATGGCAGAAAACAGAAAGAATAATGTTTTAAATTATTGCTGGAAAATACCAAAATGATCGTAAACTTTTTGGACTGTTTTGTCTCTTGCCGCTTTTGATTTTACATGAATGCTGTTGTACCTTTCGCTTCCGAAAAAAATTATATCAAGCCAAATTGATAGAAGAGTATAATTTTTTTCACGTGGTGAGTGGATTGTCTCATAGAAATGAAAATTTCTAGATTAAAACAAGTTTTAGTTTTCATAAGAATTCTTTTTAAAATGGGTCCAAATGATGGAAAAGATTATTACCCCTAACTGCCAATGCCAGATTGAGCTTCATTTGTTAGCACCACTCTTAAAAAAAAGAAAATTACGTGAGTTTTGGTTCAAAATACTATTAGGTTGTAACAGAATTAATGCAGGTTTTGAATTCCAACCGCAATAAGTCATACACTTTACATTTCTAAGTAGGTTGCAAAATATCATTCGATAGAGCAAAGCAATCTCTCAAGGTGGCAATCTTGCTTTAGCAACAATTCTGGTCCACCATGAGTTTCGGCCAAAAACTAAAAAAGATTCAACTGTCCGAAAAATTGAGGAAAGTCGTAACTCAGTTCATAAAAAACCTACAAAAATTCTAACTTGCTCACGTAAACACTATTCACATAAAACATCTATACACGCCTTTGCCATATTTTTTCTCTGTTAGAAATCAGGAAAACGGAAATTATCGTGCGTTTGCCAAAGTGATGCTGTGCCGCTACCACATAAGTAGTTGTATACTACAAAGCTGTAGAAGTACAAACGTAAATTTTCAGTTCTTTACAGGCTTTAGTTTTCGAGAAATTTAAATTTCAGCTTGGACCACATGGCTAGCGAAAACTGCATTCGATATTTTCCGAAGACTAAAGCTTGTAGAGAGCTGGAAACTCACGTTTATACTTCTACAGGTTTGTAGTATACAACCACTTATGTGGGAAAGGCACAGCATCACCTTGACAAACGCACGAAAATTTCCGTTTTCTTGATTTCTAACAGAGAAAAAAATACGGCAAAGGCGTGTATAGATGTCTCATGTGAGTAGTGTTTACGTGAGCAAGTTAGAATTTTTGTAGGTTTTTTATGAACTGAGTTATGATTTTTCTCAATTTTTCGGACAGCTGATTCTTTTTAGTTTTTGACTCGAAACTCGTGGTGGATCAGAATTGTTGCTAAAGCAAGATTGCTACCTTGTAGAGATTGCTTTGCTCTATCGAATGGTATTTTGCAACCTACTTAGAAATGAGAAGTGTATGACTTATTGCGGTTGGAATTCAAAACCTGCATTAATTCTGTTACAACCTAATACATAATAAAGCGTGGCAAGTTTTTGCAAGCGCTTCAAGACTAGCAAAAGTGCATGTGCCAAAATTGTTAATATTAAGTAAACGAAAATCAAACTAACACTTCGACAAGATTCGTCCTCGTCCATTAGTGCAATTAATGACGTCTGAACATGCTGAACATCAAAAAACAAACTGAAAATTACAAAAATCAAAGAAGCCTTTTATAAGTTTTTGCTAAATATCTAAGGTACAGTCGAATCATTTCATATGATCATGCGTGTCATTGCACACGCTGTCCATCTTTGGCGTTCCCATCCTGGATTTTTGAAGCAGACAACCCTCCAAGTGAGCATTTCGATGCGTACTCGATGTTTCTCATTTTTAGCTACTAATCACCTCAAAACGATGTAAGCTATAGCAATAGGTCAGTCTCTTGCATTTTTGCCATTGCACACCCAATGACAATGCCAAAGCTGGACGGTGTGTGCAATGATGATGGTATGAGATGATTTGACCACACCTCAAGATATTTAGAAAACAAAAGGTGAACAACATGTTAATAGTAAAAGTTCCTTCCCGATAAACTTGCAATAAACGCTGTGGTGGCGAAATGGGAGAGAAGGATGGGTCAAGAATGCTGTGTGGAGCGGTAGGTGAATGTTAGGAAAGTTCTTTTTAGTCAGAGTTTCTTCTGAAGAGACCAAGTTATGTTACATCATTACTCATGTAAAGTTGTGTAACTGCGATGCTATCGCAATGTAAAAGATGCAGCGCATACACAGCGTGACCAAGACAATGTCGTAATGTCGAAATGCGAAGCGGCAATTATTGTCATCTTACTTCTACATGTAATCCTTTGAACATCACTATTCAGTTTTGCGGCTTGAATATGTATCCGTACTCTGCTATAGAGAGTACAGAGATATCAGGCACTGCAGTTTGTGAAGGTATGTACGCTTAAAAGCTACCAGATCTGCAATCCTTATGCTCAAGTTTGTGGAAAGAGTTCAAGAAGCTTCTGAAACCATCAAGTTATTGGAATCAAAATCATCAATGCGATGCGGTCCAGAGATCAGCTTGAAAGCACTCAAAAAAAATCGTACTCAAAGGCATAATTACCATGTTTTTGTGTGCTATGAATATGTTTTCTGACCACTTCCACTGAACTACTCAGCTTTGAACTTTTGAACGTTTGCAGCTTCTGAGGGACCGTCTATTAGATATGAGAGGCAGATTTGAATTCAGCTTTTTGAAGTGCATTCACCTATATACCGTTTGATTCAAAGATCGGCTCCTAGAAGGCGACCGCTCGCAACCGCGACGCAGTCTGCCTCTCTCTTGCGAGCGTGCTCTCTGATCATTTTCTAGCCTTGATTAAGCCTCGAGGCCCCGTCCTCCAGCCATCACTCCTGTTGAATCAAAGGGTACATATTCCCAAACCGCCAGCTGAGGTGTGGATGTGCTACCATTGAAGAGGTTTAGCGAAATCGCATGGTAACCACTAATCGCAGATTTGCCCAAGAGCTAAGGTTTAAGCACTGAACTTATTCTTAAGTATGCTTGATTGCCACTATGATTTGAATAAGGTTGGATGCTTTCGATTCGGCACATATTCCTATTTAAGTAGCCAAATCTCCCCTGCAAGCCTAAAACAGCATCTCATGTGATAGCCAAGCATCGGAAACACACTGCATCATCCGCAGCACAATCTAACAAGATATTGCTGCAGATGCACTACATCTAAACTTTGTGCATCGGAAAACGAAAGCCCTAAGAAGCGTGTTGGCTCGATGGACGACAAAGTCGCAGAACAAATTACTTCGCACTGTTGGTAGGATTCAGCCCCATTCATTTCAACGCACTATTTAGCATGGACTGATCGAATTCTCCACGGCTCACAATGTTGATATGACAGCAACAAAGGCATTAGGAGTTCGCCCAGCTCATCGACACGGGAACATCAAAGTGCGGAGAACATCAACATTGTACAACATTCTCCAGTTTTGACAAAAGGGAATCCGCCAAAAAAGATTTGCCGGACTCATGACAAGTGTGAACTAACAGTCCTGATGAAATCAGCAATATATTATTCAAGCACTATGCCAAACTTTATGTATAAACGAACATGTAAATATAATGTACTAGCTGGCAAACCCGGCTCCGCTCGGCCATGTCAAGAATATATTCGTAATCAGCATGCTCACTTATCTCCTTGTGCCACCTCCCAGCCCCGAAGCCCGAATCTTTTGAGAAATCAATAAAATCGATAACGATCGATGAGAAAAAAAGCAGCCTATGACACCCGCCCGGTCCCGAAGCGTATGTGTGCAAAGTCTGGTCCCGATCCGTTCAGAAATGGAGTTTTCTATTCGAAACATATGTATGTACAGACAGACAGACATACAGACAAAGTCAGCTTCATATATAAGATCAGTGGGAGCAGGTTTTTGCTGCCATAGCTTTTTTCAGAACTTAGAATTGCGCGAATTGATGATAAGTTTACGGGGAACGGAACTTACCTACCCGAGATATTCTCACACCTCATGGGCGTGTGTCTGCAGGGTATAATTAGCATAGCGAGCTCGCTGATTCCAGATGCTCCTTAGGACAGCGCTAAGCTAATCTCCGCCCACACATCGCATCTTTTTGGCATAAAACCAAGGCGGCGTGCCAGGAGTTCCCAAAGCTTAGCCGCTTTTCCTCGCAGGGGTACTTGGCACCTCCAAAATCCCTTGAAGGACATTACACCTTCTCGGAGCCAAGGGGCGGCTCCGCCCATCACTCCTCCGTTTAGGAGGCCATCATTTTGAAAAGTGTACACGCAATGTAAGACGTGCACTGTATTTTGAGGATAATATAATAGAACTGAAATCGAGAAACAAAAAAGAAACTTATAGGTTTCTGTAAGGTTTTAGAATTTGTAAATGACTGCAGTTGAATTTCAGCCTTTCGAGTTATGTTTCATTCATTTTTTGGATGCGAGCTCTTCGATTATGCGATGAAGGTTGGTATTTTAGTACATCGATTGCAGGAAAAACCACACTTGGAAAAAACTCTTTGAATTTGGATCTTATTGATCATCAGGTAGTTAGAGTGAACAACTCTTTCGAAATGATGGCAGACGAAAGTAGAAAAGTACATGTATCTAGATATCCTAACTGTTGGAGAAAGCGTTCAGTTGCTTATTCGAAAACTTTGATATACTCCTTTCAGAAAAGGTCCTTCTAATGTAGAAGGCTTGGGTTTTTAAAATTTTGATGCTATCACTTCAATCAGATGACCAAGTAATGTACAATTGATCAACCAGTCCTCCAATGTTTTGAATGACCGGGTTTTATACTCAAAATTTCTGTGCAATTTCTCTTTCTTGAAAATAAAGTTCAAATGCTCTTTTTCAAAAGGATGGCGTAGCAGAAGTTTTCAAGCCGCCTCACTTGATGAATGGTAACGATGTTCTTGTTTTTTCTTCATTTCTCTCTCATTATCTCAAAATCTGAATCTAAGTTCTCGCTGCTTGCACACCTCACAATGAGTCCAGTAAATGGATGGAGCAGTAGGCGGGGCCTGACCTCTGAGGCACGGAGGTGCTAGAACCCTTCTGGGTGCGAATGCTGGTGCGAAGTTGGTGCGAGGAAAGGTGCTAGGAACTCTTGCACGCCCTCCTAAAACCAACACATGCCAGAAAACCTGGCAATATGAAGACAACGAAGCTAACTTAGCGCCAGAATGTGATAAAAGAGGACTGCGAAGCTCAAAGTGGAGCTAATGGAAGGAAAAAAAGATGGTTGTCATCAAAAGGATAAGGCAAATCCGGATATAAAAGTGACGAATTAGACATTCTCAATTTTATGCAAAAAAAATCCATAAACTCAAAAAAGTCATTCGATTGACAAAAAATTATTATAGAATACAAGGATCAGGTAAATCCAAAATGCTGAACTTCACTTTCTAAGTATGATTCAAATGCAGCAAAATATCTCTAACTAGCTGGCTTACCCGGCTCCGCCGTATCCGGACCAAACTTGGCACACATACACTTCGGGCCCCGGCGGGTGTCTTTTCGTTATCGATCGATGTCGATTTTACCGATTTATATCGATTTTTTTGCAGAGTTCACCTACAGGGCTAGGAGTTGGCACAGGGGGGGAAGTGAGCATGGGGATTCCGAATACAACATTAGTTTTCAGGATCGTCCATTACTTTTATCGATTTTATCGATTTTTTTTGTAAAGTTTGACCTGCGGGGCTGGGAGTTTGCACAGGGGGGTAATCGAGCATGCTGATTACGAACACAATATTAGTTTTCAGGATCGTCCATTACTTTTATCGATTTTATCGATTTTTTTGTAAAGTTTGACCTGCGGGGCTGGGAGTTTGCACAGAAGGTAATCGAGCATGCAGATTACGAACACAATATTAGTTTTCAGGATCGTCCATTACTTTTCGATTTTATCGATTTTTTGAAAATTTGAGCTAGGGGGCTGGAATTTGGCACAGGAGTGTAATCGAGCATGCTGATCACCCCCCTTGGGGGTGATCAGCATGCTCGATTACCCCCCTGTGCCAACTCCCAGCCCCCTAGCTCAAACTTTGCAAAAAAATCGATAAAATCGATAAAAGTAATCGATAATCCTGAAAACCAATATTGTATTCGGAATCCCCATGCTCGATTACCCCCCTGTGCCAACTCCCAGCCCCGTAGCTCAAACTTTGCAAAAAAATCGATAAAATCGATAAAAGTAATCGATAATCCTGAAAACCAATATTGTATTCGGAATCCCCATGCTCGATTACCCCCCTGTGCCAACTCCCAGCCCCGTAGCTCAAACTTTGCAAAAAAATCGATAAAATCGATAAAAGTAATCGATATTCCTGAAAACCAATATTTTATTCGGAATCCCCATGCTCGATTACCCCCCTGTGCCAACTCCCAGCCCCGTAGGTGAACTCAGCAAAAAAATCGATAAAAATCGATAAAATCGATATCGATCGATGACGAAAAGTAGCCTATGACACCCGCCGGGGCCCGTAGTGTATGTGTGCCAAGTTTGGTCCGGATCGGTTCAGAAATGGAATTTTCTATTCGGAACATACGTACACACAGACAGACAGACAGACAGACAGACATACAGACAGACAGACAGACAAACAGACATTCAG